GTTCTTCCGCATGGCAGCGCAGGCACGTCTCACCCGGAGCCCAAAACAACTTGCAAACATTCCACATGCTCGCTTCCCTTGCGACGTGACCGCTGCCCCCCCCCACCAAAAAAAAAACAAAAAAACACGTGCAGCAGGCGAGGGGACGCAGACGAGGAAGCAACTGAGGAATCAAGGAAAGCCAACGAGAACGTCCAACAAGCTTGCATCCAAACAAAAGCAGGATGCAAAAAAAGACTCCGAGTCTCTTTAATTTAAAAAAAAAAAAACAACCCAAAAAGCGTCAGCTGCAGCGCTGTTGCGAGGAGCCGGTGGACGCACGCCCCCGGTGGGCTCCGTCGGCGGGAAAGGAAGTGAAGGGGTGGGAAGGTCACGTGACCCAAGCCGCCAAACAGCTGAGCCGCGAGGGCACTTTGACAGCAATTTCAGTCGGGAGTGGGCGGGGGCGCTGCCCCAAATAAAAACAGGTGGACGCCTCCCCTTTGTCCCCCCCCCCCGCGTGCAATAGGCATCAGAAAACCAAAGCCATGTCCAAAGAATCACCCCCTCGTTATTTGCGTGCGTGCGTGCGTGGGTGCGCGTACTTGAGCAGGCGGGGCGGGTGGTCGTCGACGGGCAGCACGCTGACGACGGCGGTGGCGCTGAGCGAGTGGACGCCATCGCTCAGTCGCAGGGTCAGCCGGTCCTCCAGCGTCTCCGAGTCGTCGTGCTCGTACCACACGCGCAAGCCTGGACGCACAACGAGCCGCACGGCTTGACGGCCCGAAGAAGAAGCTCGCAAACATCCTCCGAATGCCAATTGCAAATCCGCGAAGACCCAAGCCGGAACCCGCTTTCGAGAAGCGCCGTCTCAAAAATGAAAATGTCGGACAGCAATTGGATCTTGATTTGATGGCACGCAAATGATTCGTTTTTTTTGGGGGGGGGGCACATTGCATCTTGCCGCCATAGCTGGGAAAAAAATCCAAAAAGAGTTGGAGATCACATTCTAATTGACAAACTCAGCGGTTAGCGGCGTCCGAAGTGTGCGGACGAGGAGGAGGAGGAGCCGCGCCGAGGGAATTTGCTGACGCCGTCGCTCTCGGAAAGGCGCCGAGTCGGCCGACGCGTCGGGTCTGGTTGCCGACGGGCCTCCCGGACAAGGCCGCCCATCCGGGCGACGTCGGCCTCCTCGATAAACTCAATCGCTTTTTTTGGGTGGCCACCCCCACCCCAAAAACAAGGCCCGGCCCGAAATTCCAGCCCGGTTGTCGATGAATGTCCTCTGCGACATCTTCGGAAAGCGTTCCGGAAGCCAATGATGTCGCTCTCGTCGGCAGGTCATTTGATGGAATTTTTTTTCCCGATGCCTCCAATCAATGCCAAGCAAATCATTTGCCGACGTCGCCGAACTCCGATCTCCATTTGCGAGCGCGCGCGACACGGCGGTGTATTTTGCCAGCGTTGCCCCTCTCCCGTTGGAGGAACGGCGGCGTGGCCGGAAGGGGGAGGGCCTACCCTGGCGCAGCTGCCGCAGGGTGAAGGACGCCACGGCCGCCGGCGAAGCGCCCGTCCGGTCCGGGGGACGGGAGGGGCCGGCCTTCAGGCCGCCGTGCGCCGGCGCCCCCGCCAGGCTGAAGGTCAGCTCGTCCGCGGGGGCGTCCAGGTCGAAGGCGTCCAGGAGGGACGGGGTCAACTCCCGCGCGCCCCCCTCCTTCACCTGAACACAGCGCCGCTCCTCGGTCAGAAGGCGCGGGGGCACTCGCCGACGGCGCCGCGGACATCGCCGAACACATACGGTAAAGTTGGCCAGGCGCAGCGACGGCTTCTCGTCATTGGTGGGATGGATGACGATGCGGACGGGCGCCGAGGCCGAGTGGTGCAGGCCGTCGCTCACGCTGATCAGCAATTGGTCCGCCGTGGGCTCCGCCCCTTCGTGCTCCGATTGGACGTAGTTGATGAAGCCCGACGTCACCTCGTCCAACTTGAATGACTCTGAACCGGACGTCGACAACGTGGTTCAAAACTCGTCTCACACACACGCACACACACGCACATATGCAAATGAGCCATGAAAACCGGACGCCGCTTTTGAATTGCGGCCCGACAAAAATCCATTCGCGAAACAGGCCTGGACAAAAGTGGCGATCGCCCGAGAAAAGCTTGAAGAGAAGCGTGACAACCAGGGCGTGTCCCGCAAGACGCAGCTGTCTTCAAACTTGCCGTTTCAGGTCCCTGCGCTCTTTGGGAACAGAGGAGGGAACGCCGGAGCGACCTCGCAGGTCCTGGCACACGGAGACAAAGCGCGGCGACGAACCCGCGAGCAAGGCGACGGGCGAAACGTTCCGCCGCGGCCTCGGACCGGCCCCCATTGCACGTCCGCGCGAGAGGCGGCGTCTGTAGAACGGGCCCCGCGCGGGCCTCGCGCGGAGTGCCGCCAAGCACCTGCTGGGAGCCTTGAAAGCTCGCCCCAAAAACTCTTCCCTTCCACCCGTGGTCTCAAGAGACTTTCCTCCACACGAGGAGAGCGACAATTTGGGCCACGTGTGCCCATCAGAGCAAAAATTTCTACCTGCGTAGAAATACACGCACGCACGCACGCTCACTTGCAGACCTATGGGCACGCCCGCGTTGCTCTTCTCGTATCCCGGCGTCGGTTGAACGTTTTCCAGGAAGCCGTGCAGAGGTTTGGCATCCAGGTGAAAGGTCAGCTCGGCGGGGGGGCTGTCGGCGTCCCAGGCCCCCAGGATGCCCCCGCACAGACACGCCCATGAACCCTCGTCCACTGCCAACACGGACCCTCCTGTTTTACGCATGCACACGCACACGCACACATGCACACTGAGAAACAAAAAGAGCTCACACGTGTGTGCGCGTGTGTCACACGACTTATTGCAGCAACCCCAAACCTATTCATGGCAACTTGCCGAGCGTGCTGTGCATTTCAAGAAGGCTCCTGAAGACACACACACACACACACACATACGGCAAACTCACCCAGGATGACGCTGGGAACTTTGTTGTTGACAGGAAGTAGCGTGACATTGAGGTCATACACAGGAAGCGTGCCGTGCAGCGGGACGGGCGGGGCGTCACCGGGGCAACAGCCGTCCGTCCCGCCCGCTTCGCCGTCGGAGATGATGAGCGTGACGGTGTCGGAGGCGGGAGCGGGGCCGATCTCGCCGCCTGAAAACGGGACGCGGTCGCCGTCAACGCTGGCGTCCGACTTCCCGTTTGGCGCCGGCTAGCCCAGCGCCATTCCATAATATAGTCGAGCTGCTTCGCCAAAGTTACCGCGCAAGTGCGTTAGCTTACTGAGTTGCGAGTTAGGTGGGTTAGCTTAGCAACGTTAGCCAAAGTTGGAGCGATAGCTTCCCCCGTCAAACCGAGGATGCTGACCAATCTCGAGTGTGCTAGCTTAGCAACGTGAGCCAAATTTCGCGGGCCCAAGCAGTTCAAGCGCGTTAGCCTAGCATCACGAGGTCACATGAGCATCAAAGCGATGACGTGGCGACACCTCACCCGTGTGCACGTAGAACACGTCACCTCGCAGGAGGTCCTCCTGCGAGAACTTGTCCACGGCAAGTCCCGCCCTGCGCAGCTCGCCCCTGGCGGGCCGCCGCGCCAACATGTAGCTCAGCTTGGCGTCCTCGCTGTCGCGGTCGGTGGCCAGCAGGTAGTCGGCCGTCAGCTGGACGCGCCCGCCCTCCGGGCAACGCAGCCCGCCGCGCAGGCCCGCGCCCAGCTGCGGGGGCTCGTCATTCACCGGCACCACCTGAGGGTGACGCCAACGGCAAAATCTGCCCTTGAAATTGGAATCTCCAAATTTGCAATCTCAATTTCAAACGGGGAATCTTTTCCTCCGGCGTCAGGAGGGGCGTGGAGTTGAAATCTTCTTTTCGCTTTGTTTGTTGTTGTTGTTTTTACATTCCAGTTGGCAAAACCCCTGAAGAAGTCATATTTTGGAGGGCAACCCCCCCCCCCCCCTTCCCCGTGTCAACGTACGTGAATCCGCAGGTCCAGCAGGACGGCGTTGACGCCGTCCGTCACACGCAGGCCCACGTCGTCCTCGGTGCTCTCCGAGTCGTCGTGGACGTACCTGCAAAACAGGCGGCGCCGGTAAAAGAGGGGCGGGAACTACTCTCCTGGGCCAATGGGTCTGACGTGGGGGGAGTGGGGGGGAGGTCACCTGACAGCGAGTCCCCTGAGATCGGCGAGCGCGAAAGCATCTCCGGGTCGCAGGCTCCGCCCTCGCAGCTCCAGACGTCCGCGGCGCGCCGGGCGCTCCAGTTCCACTTTGAGGTCCGGCTCATGGGTGTCGCGGTCGCGCACCAGCACGTGCTCGTCCGTCACGAACGCCGCGCCGCCTTCCTCCACGCGCAAGAGATTGCCGAAAGCCTGAGCGCAGACGCGTGACGCGGCGGTCAGCGACAGAAGCTCAACGGAAGCGGCCACGGGGGCGAACGCTGAGACGACGACGACGTGACCTCGGGCGGTTGGTCGTCGACGGGCGTGACGGTGATGTTGAAGTCCAGGTTGGCCACGGCGCCGCCGCGATGGGCGCTGACGGAGAAGACGAAGCGGACGGCGAGCGGGTCGGGTCCGATGTCCTCCAGAGGCGGCATGTACGCCACCTTCAAGTGGTCCACCGCGTGCTGGCGCGCGCCACAACGCGCGCTCGGTCAGCGTTCTCCCGCCGCCCGTCGTCAAGTTCTTGCCTACCCACCTGCGTGAAGGACTTGAGCGCCGGCGCCGTCGGGTCCCGGCTCAGGGCGGCGGCGCCGTCCACGAAGAAAAGACGACCGGCGTCCATCAAACTGCGGGCACGGAAAGGAAGTGACAAAACGAAGGCCGAGCCCAACGAGGCGGCCGCCTCGGCTAACGTTAGCGTGAGCGTGTTCAGCGGGACGGACCGCGGCATCCGCCGCGTTTGGATTTCAACCGCGGCGGTCGCATTTGATCGGCTGACCTCGAAGTTCCAAGCGTGAATTTGAATGAGTGGCCTCAGCCGGGGGTCGCGTTCGCTCGACACAAGTGTTGGGAACATTTCGCTTGCGCCATTGGTGCGCGCGCGCCCTCACCCGGGACGTTGGGGGCTGTGGCAGGGCCGGGTGATGGCGTAGGTGAGGTCGGCCTGCGGGCGTTCGCTGTGGGTGAAGCGCAGGTGCGCGCGGGTGATGAAGGCCACTTGGGTCTCCTTCAGCGTGAGCCGGCGCACGCTCCCGTCCCATTCCACCGGAAGCCCGTCCTCCACCGGGAACACCGCCACCGCCACCGTCTGCGCCCACGCGCCGCGCTCAGCCACACGCAAGTGTGCCTTTCGGTGCGGCGGCGGCGGCGGCCCAAAGCCGCCCGGACTTACGTAAGCCTGCGACAGGTTGGGAGGGACGTGGGCGTCGGCCAGCGTGACCTGGAAGGAGTCCTCGAAGATTTCCTCTCCCGAGTGTTGGTAGAAGATCAGACCTCGAGTCAAGTCGCGCTGGAGGAAGGACGTGACCGGAAGGCCTGAAAGCGCCGGCGGGCCGTCACGCGGGCGTGGCCGCCAAAATGCACGCAAACGCAACAGCGTCCAAAGGAAGACATACAACGAGACACAAATACTCTGTGAGTCTGTGTGTGTGTGTGCGTGTGTAGATACACACACACACTGCCACTCACCGGGGTCGCGGGGGTCGGCCCTGGAGACGAGGCGGCCGGCCCTCGGGGGGACGTCCACCCTGAAGAGGATGCGGGCGTCGGCGGAGTCCGCGTCGGAGGCCAAGAGGGCGGCGGGGCGGAGCCTGAGCGCGCCGCCCTCGGGCACCTCCAGCGCCACGTTGTTGACCAGGAAGGGCGGCGTGTCGTCGCGCGGCAGGATGTTGATGGGGAACTTGTGGCGCGAGCTGTGGCGCCCGTCGCTGATGCGGAACACCACGTGGTCGCGCGTGCTCTCGCTGCCCGAGTGCTCGTACGCCACGCGGCCCTCGCGCAGGTCGCGCGTGCCAAAGGCAAACGCCTTGGCGCCTGGGGAGCGACGCATCGTCGTCATACGGCCGCGACCGTCACGGCGTCGTCCGCGGTGACGTCCGCTCCGTCTCCCGAGCGTTGCCGGCCGGCTCTTGGCCGCGATCCACGACACTTTGGACAGGCCGAGGCGGAGGCTCATTGGAAAGCCCCCCCTGCCCCCTCGCTGGCCATCTTGAAAACGCGCCATTTTGGCTCTTTGGCTTTGACGTGATTTCTTTTAGTTGGACTGTTTTGCTGCTTTCTACGTCTTTGTTTTTCGCGTTCACTTTGGTGCATGACTTCAATTTTCACACAGCGCTGGTTGTTTTCAAGCGCTCGAAAAATACACTCCAGTTGAGTTGAATTTGAAGTTTGCCCGCTTGGCAACTTGGAGCACCCTAGCGCTTTCCTGCCAATCAACCGCCCCCTCCCCCCCACAAAAAAAAACGCGACGTGTTGCTGGCTGGCCCCCCTGGCACGTCACGAAACGCTAACGCTAACACCGTCGCAAACAGCGGGCCGCCCACGCTTTGGCACTTTGATTCAATTAGCGGGCGCGGAAGCGACGAGCCGCCGCGTGGCGTCCGTCCCGACGGCCGCCCGCGTGCCAGGACAGAAGGGCCGGGTCGCGCGACAGATTGAGAGACGAGCGGCCGCCATCCGCTAACTCATTAGCGGCGCCACCGAGGGGACGCGGGCGGCCGGTCCGCGCGAAGGACGCCGCGCTAATTAGGCCCGAAGGTGGCGTCGGGGGCGCGGGTGCCGTACGCGGGACAGGCACGCCGCCATTTGGCTGAAGGCGTCGCGCGCGCCAACTGGGACGCCGCCTTCCTTTCTCGGACGGCCTCTTTTTAGTCGTCATTCAAACAAACGCGCCCGCAACGAAGCATTGAGAAAAACTTGCTTTGCAATCAACCCAATCTTCCCCCAATATTTCACGTGACTCGAGTCAAGTTTCTCACAAAATGATGATGCCGTGATGATGTCATCATTGTGAAGCAGTTTTTGTCTTTGAACTTTGTGGACGTTTCATACCGTACGCTATTGCGCAAGCAAACACACACACACACACACACACACACACACACACACACACACACACACACACACACCCAAATCCAAGCGTGTGGGTGTTTAGGAAGTGTTGTTAATTGGTCCCAAAGGTGCGATTGGGCCCAATTGGCCAAAGGCGTTGCAGGCCCTCGCCCTGGGGCACGCCACCCTTCCTCACGGCAAGCAATTTGAGGAGGACGAGCGCTTTTCCCTTCCACCGCTGACATCACGCCGTGTCACTCATCAACGTGGAAGAAGACAAAGAAGCCGATGACGACGATGCCCGCAAGCTACTGGCATGGCGCTAGCCGTGCGTGTCAAATGACATCCGTCCAGCAATCTGCTGGGCCACCCCGCCCCCTCACCATTTTCTGCCCGGCTAAGGCACCGGAAACGCACACACACACACACACATTCACTAATCTCTGCATAAATACACACGTGCACAAATCAAAGAATCCCACACGGACACAGCCACACCCCCGGCAGCCATTTTGTGTCCGTCCGGTCATGTTGGGCGCGCTCACCTCTGACCGTGAGGCGCCCGTGCGCGGGCCCGTCCACGGCCACCAGGACGACGTCGTCGATGTTGTCGCTGTCCACGATTTGCAGCTCCGCCCACGTGATGGCTCGCGACTGCCCCTCCAGCAGGTCCAGACCTGAGCGGACGCCGGAGCCGCTCGCGTCAAGAACGGGCTGCTTTGGGCTTTTTGGGGTTTTTTTTTCTTCATAGCCGGCGTACCGGTGTTCCAGGACACCCGGGGCGCGTCGGTCTCCGCCGCCCTGATGGACACGTCCACCACGATGGGCGGACTGGTCGCGTAGGAAGCGTCAATGGCCCGAAACTCCATCTGGCACGCACCAAAAAAAAAACCCCGTCACCATTCAATTCCTGCGAAGCATTCATGTTGTCATTTGACTTTTTAGCCGCTCTGGTTCGCCGCCGCGGTGAGCACGTTAGCCATCTTGGCTTCAAGCAAAAGCGAACTCGGATGCGACTCTCGGTTTTCGTGTTGTCATCGTATGACAACCGTAGGCGGCGCGACGTGCCGGCGTCCTTTTCCTGCCGTCGTGGCTTCGCTCCGACGACGCCTCTGACATCTCGACGCGATGAAAGGAAGAGCCGTTTTGTCTCCAGTCCGAAGTCGGCGTTCAAGAGGACGGCGGCCAAAGCGGCGAGTACCTGAAAGTTGTCCCGCGCGGAGCGGCTGCCGTTGGGCGGCTGGTACGCCACCTTCAGGTGGTGCAGGTCGGACCGGCTGAAGGAGCCCACGGGCTTGGTGCGCTCGTCCAGGTGGGTGACGTAGCCCCGAGGGGGCGGGACGCTCACGTTGAACAGCAAGCCGTCCCGGGGGCCCTCGGGGTCTTCGGCGTCCAGCGTGGCGGTGGTGATGGGGGTCAGGACGAACTGGTCCACCTCCAGTATGAAGGACGCCATGAAGGCGGCCCGCGGCGGTTGGTTGGGCGTCGCCCCGACGATCCGGACCGGCAGCCACAGAGACTCCGCCTTGAAGGGACGGAGGGGGGAGGGGCGCGGCGGGAAGAACACTTTCAAGCGCTTGGAGCGTTGCTTCTTGACGCCTCCCCCCAAAAAAGCATGTCACAAAGTCAAGGCTTCCTCTCGCTTCAGAAGCACCGCAAGCGAGACGGATCGCTCGGTGAAAAACACCGTCGTCAGTACGTTGGACCCCGTGACCTAACCTCCAGCGGAGCCCCGCTCTCCTGGTCCCTCAGCTCCACGGTGATGGCGATGTGGTCCAGGTCGGGCGAGGGTGGGCTGAGGTGTTGGTACTTGAGGCCGGAACTCAGGAAGTCCTGACAGCCGGTCTTCAGGTAAGACACTTCCTCGGCGCCGTCGGCGCAGGATCGGTTGCCGGGGCAACGCGCCGCCGCCGCCGCCTCGCCACCTGGATGCCGGACGACCAGCGCGACACAAAGCAGATTGCGTGGCACGTTTGCACGGCTTTCCGTGCCGCACTGTCAACGCGCGTCGTCGCGGAACATTTCTATCGGATTGTCCAGCTTGAGCCTGACAAAGTACATCTTTGCCCTCAAAGGTCAATCGTGTTTTTCAAGTTGCGAGTATCTGGGCCGCGGGGAAGCGATCTGGAATGGGAGGGGCTGAATGAGTCGGAGGGGCGGGGCCAGCGCAGCCCCGACTTTATGACCGGGGGACAAAAAAACAACTACGCGGAGTCGGGTCGGAAAGCGAGGCGGGCGCGGGTCGGCACCTTTCGCGCGGAGGCCGTCGTCTTCCCGCACCAGCCGACCGGCGGTCAGGGCTCCCGCGGCGGCCAGCAATCGCACGGTGCACGCCGCGCCGTCCCGGCCTCCGATGTTGACGACCGAGCCGTCGATGGCGTTGGACAGCGCGTAGAAGTCCGGGACCACCAGGGGAGTCGGCCCCAAGTCCGCCAGGCGGGGCGAGCGGTCCACCACGCGGACCCGCAGGACCACCGACTCCACGCCCGTCTCCGCCGGCCCCAACCTACAACACACGGGTCACTTCTTTTCTCCATCCTCATCCTTTTGTTTTGCTCCTCTCTCGTCTCGTTTGTCAGTTGGCGCAACGTCTTTTCAAAAGCCTCGACAACTCGTCTCGGCCCGCGACTTGCCGGGACTCGCGGCGCATCGTCCGCTCAGGAGTGAACTCGGCCGGGACGAGAGCGGACGCGAGAAACTCCGTCGGGACCGGCGACTTGGACGCAGCTCGGCTTGTCTCCACCTGTTGAGCGACTCGGGACGAGGTCTGGACCGGGACCCCGCACCTGCGGTCGCGCGGCGTGCGGAATGCGGGAGTAGCGTGAGGTCACCGCGACCCTTCTCGCCGCACCCAAAGGACCGGTCGCCACGGCGAAACGGGCCGACAGGAGATAGCCGTGATTTCGGCCGCCGGCCAATGACGACGGGATGACGCGGGCGCGGGGCCGGACGACGGAACTCACCTGCGGAAGGTCGGCGGGACTGAGACCGACGCGGTACCGACCTGTAGAGCCGCAGTAGCACTTGGTCGCTGTCCAGCAGAGGGCTTCCGTTGTGCCGGTAGGTCACTTCCTCTGGCAGGAAATCGCAGTCAAACACCTGACGACGAAGAGACAACGTGGCGTGGCGGGGCGGGGCAAACGCCGAGAAGAGAAAAAGCGCAAACGGCGATCAGACGGGACCGCCGCAACCAAACGATCAAATGAAGACGAGCGCAAGGACGGCAAGGCGAGGGCCCGCGGACGGCAGACCTGCGGCGTGAGCCGGCCCACTCGCTGCGTGACGGGCTGGTTGAGGACCACCTCCACCTTGCAGAGGTCGCCGGCCCGCGTCCGGATCCGCAGCTGCTCCTTGGCAAGGAAGGCCGAGCGCCCCCTGGCCACCTCCATGCCGGCGTTCGCCTCCACGCCGCCGCCGGCCGCCGCTCCGACCGGCAGCAGCAGCAGCAGCGTGAGGAGCCCGCTCACGCCGGCCATCTTGGAACCACGGCGGGCGGGGGGCAAGTTCTGCTCGCTCGCTTGCTTGGACGGCTTCCTGCCAGACAGTGGGAGGAGTCAACTCGTCAAAAACAACATTTTGGGGGGGTTTGAAATGTCGCTTGCGAACCGTCAGCCCGCAAATGAAATGACCTTCAAATTTAAACTTCAATTGGATTCGGAAGAGCCGAGGTCATTTTGGGATTGGGTGACAACAAAATACCTGACAAGCGTCGAAACCTCCTCGGGCCTCGTCTGGAGTCTCGCTCTTGGTCTCGTCAGGACTTCATGAAAGACGACAAGATGACACTTTGGAGAAGACAAATTGACAACAAATCCAGATCTTCTTCCGTCCCTTCTGGTGACTTGTCCCTGTTTTTCTCTTGGCGGACCTCCGTCACTTGGATTTTGTCACGCGGCTTGACCGGTTGGGTCAAGAGCTCGCTTTTTGGCGTCTCATCGCCGGCGCACTTTTGGCGTCTCCCGGCGCAAAGCCTCGTCACTCGGTTTGTCCTTTCACGTCGTCGGTTTTCGTCAGCTCCCACTCCGGCTTTTGCGTCACCTCGCGGAAGTCCGTTTGTCACAAATGTCACTTCGAGCGCTTTGCTTTGTCCTTTCACGTCGTCGGTTTTCGTCAGCTCCCACTCCGGCTTTTGCGTCACCTGGCCCGGCTTCAGTCGTCACCTCGCGGAAGTCCGTTTGTCACAAATGTCACTTCGAGCGCTTTGCTTTGTCCTTTCACGTGTTTCACGTGTCAAGTCCCGAGAATACGCAGATGTTCTTTTTGGGGAAGGGGGAATAGGGGTGGGGTGGGGGGGACTTGTTTTTGGAAGCGTTTGCGAAGTCAGCATGTGCGAAAGCACTTTGCGAGTGGGCGGCGGGCCCGGATGGGGCCGCTGCGCGGGAAGTCCCGATGGGACGGCGACGCGGGGGGGCTGCTCGCTTACCTGTTGTCACGCCGACGCCCTCCCGCCTCGCACCCACCCCCGCGGCGAGCGGGCGGTCCTCCCGGTCAGAAAATTCAGCGACGCCGACCTGATTCAGCTTGGCCAGTCACGCAGCAGACAGGAAGGGAGAGTTCAACACTTCAACTTTTACAAGCTCGGGAGAAGCCTCCAACCCCCCAATGACACACACACGCACGCACACACTCCCGGCTCTGCTGGGCCCCCACGTCCCGCCCCCCTTGGCCTGTTCTCACATTCCCGTTTTGTCCATTCGAAATGTGCTCGCTCACCTGCGGAACGCTGCTGCTTTCTTCGAGCCACACACGCTCGCGTCAAAACTTGATCAACAGAACACGCGCGCGTTCTTTATCGCCACAGCGGGTTTTGATGTGCACGCGTATGTGTGCATATGTGCATGTGTGGAGAGTAGTCACAAGCCCCGCCCCCTCAGGCCCCGACCCCCGCTCCCCACCACCGCAAGTTCCAGGAATGCGGTCCAGTGTTTTGGTCGGCCTCCCGCGGACGGGCTGCGCCGCGACGCCACTTTTGACCGCTAGAGCGCAGCACCTTTGTTCCGTCGCAGAGGTTGGACCGGAAATGAAAAAGGGAAGAACAAGAGCGGAAAAGGAGGATGCCAGCACCGTCTCCTGTCGGAAGAGGCTCGCGTGTCGACCCGCGTCTTCTTCAAACCGACCTTTGATGGCTCTACGAGGCTTGCTTCTTTTTAGAAGACACATTTTGGCCAAGAGGACTGAAAAAGAAGAACAAAAGCAAAACGGCATGGGAGACAATCAATGTCATTTGGAAAAAGGTTTTGTTTTTTTTTTCGCATCCAAAATTTTTGCCTTATCCGCTGCTCTTGTTCTCTCTCGTTCAATGAATGAAATATGTTGAAATATCCCAAGCCCAAAACCAACTGCCTCCAAAACACGCTCAGGCAGTTTGTCTTTGTCATGTTGGAACCTGTGTGTGTGTGTGTGTGTGTGTGTGTACCCCAAAACCAACTGCTACCAAAACACGCTCAGGCAGTATGTCTTTGTCATGTTGGAACCTGTGCGTGTGTGTGTGTGTGTTTTTTCCTGTTTCATTTGCTCTCTCAAGAACTTTGTTTGAAATAATATCTGGCATCATAATGGTGTCGCGTGCGTGCATGATGGCGCTGTGATGTCTTGTGACTGTTGGCCTTCACGTGGTGTCATCTTGCGCAGGTTTCATTTGCTCTCTCAGGAACTTTGTTTGAAATAATATCTGGCATCATAATGGTGTCGCGTGCGTGCATGATGGCGCTGTGATGTCTTGTGACTGTTGGCCTTCACGTGGTGACCGCGCCACTTGGCGCCGCGCCCGCCTTGGCGCCGCGCCCGCTCCGATCTTCCGTCGGCCTGGAATTCATTCTGCGGCGTCGCTGACCCGCGAGAGAAGGAACTCAGGCGGAGCCGCGCAATGTGGGGAGCGGCGTCCCCGCTAAATGACCCCCACCGGAGCGGCACTTCGCCGGCGACCGCGCGGCATCCGACCGCCGCCGCGATGCCCGGCTTTGAACGGCCGCACCGGGAAGGATAGTTTTGTCCGCTCGGCCTCCTTGACCTGGGTTAGGGGGCCGGATGAGAGCCGGGGTTTCGCATCGGGGCTTCAGAGCGGGCTTGGAAGGCTTCCAAATGAACCTTTCAAGTCGGGGTCGGCTTTTCAAGATGAGGCGCTCTGATTGACGAGCGCCCGTCATGGCGATGACGTCGCCGGTGCCGACCTCGCTTGTCACTTGCAATCAGCCGCCCGACACCAAAGACGCGCGCGGATCGCACACGAGCGCCGTCAGCGCGGCCGCTAACGTGCCGGGGGATCACCTCCGCCGCGGGGGTCCTTGCGGAGCTCAGCCTCAAATTATGCTAACGAGGCATCGAATTGATGCAAAACGAGCCCGACCGCTCGCTCATGTCTGTCCAGTCGTGAAAGGCCGAGACTCCCTGCGAGAAACACCGGGAGGGGCCGATGCCGGGGCAGGCTAGGTAACGAGGCCCGGCCGGCCGCGCGCGTCTCCCGCAGCGTTGCGCATTACCATCTTTCCACGTCATTACTTCTTTTTCCACTTGAAAGGAGGAGGCGGCTCGCGATGCCCCCGCCGCCCGCGGGACAATCGCTCAGCCACGAACGGCGCGAGCAACTCGCGCGCAGCGCTGGCACCGCGCACGCGCACTGCATGCCGCCTGGTCGGAACACGATTAGAGTCTGTCCACGCGACATGACTGCGCGCAAAACGACTCCACAGCCGTCCTGACCGCACACGGCCGCATACGACGAGTGCACACGGCACGGCCGCGCACGAGGACACGACTTGACCTCGCCCAGTTTGACGACACCAAACTGGCCACGCTACGCACAGAAAATGAGCACGCGACAAGAAGAGCGCAAACTTGACAGAACAAACGATGAGCGGTCGGGGCAGGCGTCCTTTTCGACAACTAATGAGGTCATGAGCAACAGGTGCGCAGCTGCAGGGAGAGCCCTACGGCGCCACCTGTTGGTCACAAACAGAACCGTGACATGCAGAACACGACCCCGAACAACGCCACGACCCACAAGGCGGCCGTACACGCCAAATGACCCGACGCGCGCGGCACGACGACCCACGACGCAACGACGCAGCGCATCGCCAGCGCGCACAAAATGACGACGTGACAACTTGATGACGAGAACGAGGGCGTGACGCCACATAAATTCAGCCAACCAAACGACGCGCCGCGACCTCACGCGACCTCACGCGACCCGACGACGCGCGACCCGAGTACCCGACGCGACTGCAGAGAAAATGAGGGCGCCACCGTCGGCGTGACCGCACGCCACTGGAAAAGGCCACCAGAAGCGAGTGATGCTGTTGACGCCGCCGCTCGGTCCCCGCACGGTGACGCCAACCCGTCCGCGTTCTCCGCCTGCGCTTTCCGTCTGTCCCCGGGGCTCCCGACGGCGGAGGGCCGAGGCGAGCGAGGCCTGGCCCGCCGCCCGGGCGCCCCGCGCGGCCGCTTCCCGTCCGACGGCCTCGGGATGATTTGCCGACAGGCCCGACTCGCAAAGTGGAAACACACCCACGCGCACGCAAGAGGGCGGGTTCGGCTTGCTTGGGAGACATCGGTTGACCTCACCATGGGATATACGTCTGTCGTCGTGTGCATGCGTGTCGTGTGTTTCGACTGCATGTGTGGATGTGTGTCTTGGGTAGATGTCGACTTTATGGGATTGTGTATGTGTGCGTGTGTCCCCATGTGTGTGTGTGTGTGTGTGTGAGAGAAACTGTTGGGGGGCGGGGCTTTGTGGCGTTGCTCCAATGCTCTGGCCGCCGCCCAGTTGCTTCTTCATCAGAGTGAGCGGTCAAATGCACACTTTCACAGCCAGATGACATCAGTGTGTGCGTGAGTGCGTGTTGAGGATACCCCCCCCCCCCACCTAACCCCCCCGTCCATCATCATAGCGTTACCTCCTGGCTGCCCGCGTGGAGGTGAGGTTGCGATGAGGCGCCAGGAGGAGGCGTGGCGGCCCGGTCGGCAGCTGCCAAGCGCCTTCACTGACCCCAACCCCCGCGTGCGGGGTGTGAAAAGAGCAAACGGCGGCGGGCCAACGTTCAGCTCCAGCGAGGCCGCGGCGGCCAACTGTTGCGTTGCGTTGTGGGGGCATGACGCCACGTTTGGGGGACGAAAGCGGAAGACGCGCCTTTGGCGGCGCTGGTCTCTCACACGCACACGCACACACACACACGTGTCCCCAAACAAGCAAATGAGTTGAAAGACGTCACACCCTTTTGGATGCGAGGTGTGATGAGGGGACCCGCGAGCCTGGAAGCAGGAGAACCAAACCGAACAGTCGCGGAGCTCCAGTGGAAGAAGGAAATTGAAAAGACTTCAGTCCTGACAACATCAACACACCGCAATGACAAACAAAACAACGAGACAGCAACAGAAACGACCCCCCCCCCAACACCCCACCCATCAGGGTCAGACCGTGTTTGTCGGCGCGGTAGTCCTTTGAAGCGAAAAGAACGGAGCGATGAGCAACAGGAGAAAGTCTCCCGCGCCACCTGTTGGTCACAAACGGAGCACAACCGGGACCTTGGTGGGCCTCTCCGGATAGAAACGATGACGCGGACGGAAGTGAGGACACGCAGCAAGCCTTCTCCCAGTGTGACCAAAGATTTCACAAGGTAGGAAAGCGGCCGAGCCTTTTTTTTCTCGTCCCAAGTTTCCTTTTCAAACGCAGAGGAAGCCAAAGTGCAAGCGCGAGGCCCCGATTGGTGGCGCGATTGGTGGCGCCGAGCGCTCTCCCCACATTGGAGCGAGGCAGCGCATCGGGCCGGCGCTCGGGAGCTCGGGCCTCGGAACCCGGGCCGCGGGCCTTTTTTTTCCCCGTGCGGAGCGCCATCTGGCGTCTCCACCTGACCGGCCCTTGATTAGCGGCGACCGGTCCGCGGAGCGCCTTCCCCCGTCCGTCCCCTCTGGCCCCAAAGTGCACTGGTTGGAGCCGCTTTTGCGGCCTCGTAATCGATAGCGACGCCGCCTTCCTGCTGAGCGGATGGCGAGCGTGCCGTGATGCTAATGACGCTAATGTGCACGCAACGCGCCAGCGGCGGCGCCGTCACGTGACGGCGACTGGTTGTGGTGCCATGTCAGAACGCGCGCACACACATTGCGCCACGGTCGACATCACAAACGTGGTGCGGATGTTTTCAGGTCACATGCTAATCACCGCGCGCTTTATTGTGGCGGGGCGCATTGAGCCGTCATTAAAGGTCAACGGGCAGCACGCACAAGAAGAAGAAGCAGCTCGCAAATGGGTCCCAGCATCGGGTGCGACCGGTTCGCGGCGCTTCCCGTACGGCTGGCTTGGCGCCAGCGGCCGGGCGCCCTTTTGTCCGCTGCCGATAACCGCCGTCATAAAAAGCTGACGAAACGTGGAGAATGTCCAGCATCTTTGAAATCTGACATCACTCATAAGATCGGCGATGGTTAGTCGAAAGATTTGAACGATTGTCTGAAAATGTCCATGAAAGTGAGTCTTCACTCACAGCGGCCCTAAAAAGCGTCTCATTGAAACCATTTCCCAACATTTGCCAGGACGGCGTCCAAAAAAAACCTTCCTGGTGTCAATGTCAGAGATGACACCGTGTCAAGCGGCAATCGTGTTCATCGTCCCAAACTCCAAGACGCAAAAT